GGAAGGGGGGGGGGGGATACGTGTGTTGACGGATGTTTGAAAGCGACGGGGACGTTACCATGCGCTTCCGGCAAACAAAGAGAATGACGTCGGGTTACATGGAGGTACCTATTGCATCTGTGCAAAGGCGGGTGAGATTTATTTCTGTCCAATCGCACGACAGAAAGACCATCGTCGTCGTATGATAGCGACCGGTGCCGAAAAAAATCGTTCGGGTCTCGGAGTTTCGCAAGTCGCACAGACATACCACTACGGGAACGGTATTAACGTGCGTTGCTGCATGAGAGTCAGCCACAATACCAGCTACCGTCCGCCACAATACCATCACTGCTGTAGTTATTCACCATATTCCCGCTCGTATGGCACGTTTGTCTGCCGTCGCTCTCCGGAGAGCCTCAACAAATTACTGGCTTCAATGTCGTAAGTAGGTGGTGGAACACGTCTCGAATAATTCATAAAGCAGATGAACAGCACATCGGTCCGAGAGCGCAAGCTCTTTGGTCGGCTGGGTCGTGGTAGGCCTTTCAGCATTCAACACTCCACTCCATACAAAACAAATCTCTTTAGCACCGAACGAGCGAAAAACATCCCTTGCAGGTGCCGTAAAACCCGTCGGTTGAGTATATAGGCATGCCACTTCAGTTGCTCCAGTTGAGAAACTGAGACAACTAACATGCGATGCGCCGCTGTTCTCCATTGCCTCGCGCTGAATCTTTGTTCCTTGTCGGGGGTGTCATCACTGCTATAGAAGAACGCAGCACCCCGCGGCGGTGGGTGCGAAACGGCGACAACCATACACACATGGAAGTACAACCTTACCAGAGGTGCTCAAGCTTATGTGCGCGGGAGGAGACATCAACATGCGCCTCACATGGCACAAAAAAACGGCTGCTCTTGTGGCGTTCATCCATGTCGGGCCCACCGGTCAAGCACAACACAGCTAGGCATCGGTATGGCTTGCCCATCGGAGTCGGAGTCGTCGTAATCACCACACCGATGTCGGTGCCTTGTGTGCCGTATGATCATAGGTATCCGCACAACGATACAGCAACACGGAGGGAGGGTAGTCAGCGCGCGACGAATGCACTCTGAATCGGCTGCTTCTGTTCACCTGTCGACCTGGGCGACTCGCAAAGCTCCCCTGCAGGAGGGGCGCGTCGCAGTCACCCCCACTCGGCGAGGCCGCGTGCTGATTCCGCAGCACCGCATCCCTACAAGAAGACTGGTGATGTTGTGGTGTTGCCTGGACCACCGGCTGCCGCAGACGAACGTAAACACCACACGCCAGGAGAACATAAAGTCAGCAACAACTACAGCACCGTTTAGCCTTTCCGAACGAGAGCGGCCACTGCTGCGATAGGGGTGAGAGCACGCACGGTTCCACCACGCGTCTTTTCCAATCGGTGGCTCGCGTGATCTGATTTCGAGCACGGTCCCTTCCTCTCCCTCATGTTCAACGCATCATGTGTCGGAGACCTACAACGCCACGCACTCTTGTAGGTCGCATCAGCGGCCCACACAGACCGCCGAAATATGAAAAGATGATAAGAGATGGGTCACCAGGAACTGCTGCTGCAAACATGAGAAGCATGAACACGATGCTGGAGTAAACCGCATCGCTAGCATGCAAGGCTCCCGCACCGCCAGAATGCTCACTGGAGAGTGCCGTACCTGAAACGAAGCTGCCTGGTCGCTCAGCAGCCCCAGGCAAACGAGCGAGCAGGCCTTCCCCCACACCTCCCACGGTCGGCCTTTAGTGCTACTGCTGCTGCTGCTGCTGCTGCTGCTGCTGAACGAACGCGTGTAGCCCTGCTGACCGGCCAGACGCCGCCTTGCAGCATCCCCCCTCATGCCACCGCAATCACCCCCCGGGGTCGCACTTCCAGCAGCAACACCGCGCCCACCAGAACCTCTGTCTCGGGTGCCTTGATGAAGTGCCACGGCGGTCTCATCTACTGCTGCTGCTGTGTCGCATCGTGCTAAAACGCGGTGCACCGCTGCTGCCGTTTCCTCCTCGGCATCTGCCCCACCGCTCCGCCCTGCCCCCCTTCTCCCCTTGCGAGCCATCCCTTTCGCAGCTCGTCCCGCTGCCGTGCACCCGTGTCGGCGCCTTGGTGCTGGTCTGTTGTGCCCTAGAGGCAGCAGCAGCGGCGGCGGAGACTGCTACTACTACCCACGTACTGTCGTCTGAGGTTCTCCCCCTGGCGAAAACGCCGCGGGATTTCGATTTTGAGTGTCGTCGTTTGAATGAAGACTGAGAAAATAAATCCTTTTCAGAGCGGGGCTTCATGTACTGTTGCTGTCCATTTCCAGCTCCGTGCTCGCTCACAGCCAGCAGCACTTACCATGTACGCCACTTCACGCTACACTTGGTGTTGGTAAACATGAAAATTGGATATGTGTGCCAACATGTTTGGATATGTGGTCCAAATACAAATGAGTCAGCGCCCACACTGCCATGTAATACGCGGTGCTCTACCTCAAGCAGCAGTAAGAGAGGCCGCGCCTACTACTACTACTGCTGTAGTGACAGTTTATTCGTCTGGTACAGACTGAATCACCCTGTCATTCTGTACTTTGAATAGTGCCGGTTTCCGGTATTATCGTGCCGGTCAATTCTCTTGGAAAATGCCGGCGCTGCTGCAAACAGCCCCCCCCCCACCACCCACCACTTCCTCATATGGGCAAACATCGACCGATCCAGAAAGATCAA